TAAGCAGCATGGTTTTTGCGGGGAATGCTCACTAGGCCGCGGGTTGGGTTAGGGTTAGGTTTATTGATACCCATATTTATAGTATTTCTTGTAGTGGCGGACTAGTGAACCCCCGGACTAGTGAACTCCTCTCGTTTTTGCAATCTTTGGAGCTTTGAAACTTCTTCGTCAGTAATACCAGTTAGTAACGAATTACATGGTCGATTCTTGACAGGACAAAGGACCAAGCTAATGATGCGCAAGCATCTTCTGCAATAATTTACACCGCCTGTGAGTAGGACCCACGACTTCATCGTTGACATTTAGCATGTTACATGACATCCATTGTTTAACATTATCTAAACAACCTTCCAGATTGACACCTTTCAATATTTTTATCAGATGATTGACACATGTTGGTCTGTTTGTTGTTATAAAGATTAAAATCATCGATATGTTAAATAAATATGGCATGGATTTAATATTGATGTCAATACTAGCCTGTGATCATTAGTGTGTTGAAGTCGATCTATGTTTCTTTGGTAAGAGTTACCTCCCATTATAACCTAACAACTCCCCACCTCACCTCTTGTACCTGGCATTTAATGAACAGATTATAAAATACTAGAAATAAATACAGACAAGAGACAATTGGTTTATTATTAAGTCAAATATAATTTCCTATTATAGAAATTGACAAACAAATAAACAATCAGTATTTATTATTACAATCACATGTATATATTTGATATTTATTGTTGTGTGTTGGGAAGGGGGGGGGGCGCGTAAAGTCTGTCGTTGGGTCAAGTGGAGTGGTTTCGATTTCCAGCTTGCACGTGACTCACTGCTGCGCTCTATTCTATTATAACATCATTCTCCCACTCCTCGATTGTCTTATACTGTTTCAGCACTATCATAATCACGGTTATAGTGAACTGCCCGGCTAGTATAGACCACGATCGGCGAACAACTATATAATTATACAATACTATCTATGTTCTACCGGGACGCTGAATGTTATAGCCAGTATTTTCTTGACATTCTTTGTGGGGTGTGATTATGGATGGCGCCTTAGATTTGGAACCACCCCCACCCCCACCCCCTATTCACAGCTTCTATATCCGCTACTGGTCATGGCCCCTAGCTAGAAAACTCGCACCTGTGGGGCTCGACTCCTGACTGCGTCAATCGTACTAGGGGCATGTGCATCAGTCGGTCGCATTTTGGCTACCCCCCTCCACACACAAAATCGTTATGTACGCCCCTGTACGTAGGGTAAACTATCACAGATACAAAGAATTGATTCTATTCGTAAAGTTAGATGAGAGATATTTTAGAGAAATAAAATAAAATTAAACGGGGTTTAACGTCCTACTTTGCTGCCCCCAAGATGCTATTAAAGACGGACATAGGTGATAGAGTGCGATATGAAGGAATGATGCCCTAAATGTGGCGCTGAGACACTAACAAGGGGGAAACAAAGCTGGAAAATTTGCCAGGACAGCTGCCTATGGCGTACTACTCTTTATAATTCTAATTGTCAAGGGGTCTTTTACGTGCACGTCAACGTGTACACTGTACCTCGGTTGTTCATACTATCCGGTATATTAGACGCCACCCTTGCCATGCCCCCCGTCCTGCATCACTAATAAAGGGAAACAACACTGGAAAATCTCTGAGAACTTTCTCGACCAAATTTGGCGATCGGCTCTTCTTCCAAATTCCAACTGTCAAGGGTTCTTTTACGTACACGCCTACGTATACAGGGACCTCGGTTGTTCGTCCCACCCGATCCGAAAGACTAGACCCTGTCCTTACCATACCCTCCATCTTGCGACGCTGGAAAATACATGAGAACTTTCTTGGTTAACACCGGGATCGAATCATGTACTCCCTGATTAGCGAGTCAGTGCCTTACCCACTGAGCCACCGCAGTTTCCCAATCTTTTAGAGACATGTATTATGCTTGAATTTCACAAAGATTCAAGTTTCCAAATATATTGGAGAGAGAGAGAGAGAGAGAGAGAGGGGGGGGGGAGAGAGAACAATGGGGTCTAACGTCCACTCGACACAAACTAGGTCATTTCGGACTGACACACGGTTTAATTTTATCTCAATAATTCGCTTGCACGTAGGGGTATTTAGCAGTGGAAGGAAACCGGAGGACCCGGAGAAAACCCACGATGTTGGACAAGCGACCCTTCTCCTTGCCACATACAACTGGGGAATCGAAACCAAGCCAGTTGACTCGATTACAGACCTTATGATAGAACGCACACGCGCTAAATATTGTTTGGAAATGAGGAAGGAACAACAATTCATTCAGGATTGATCAATTAAGTCTCACAAATCTTGATAACTGTACGGTGAAAATATATTCATACAAACAGTAGTACATGTATATCAACAACAGAGTTTCACCTACATGTAGTTACCACCAAATTTCACATATAAAGCCGCTGCCTTGGCAATCAATTTTGGTGGGTGAAAGAGATTAATAAAATGGTAGGAAATCTCCGGATTTGCTGAGAAGGCTGGGTATAAATGGGCTTCATCTAGTTCTCAATATAACAAGAGACAAAGAAGGTTTGTTTTACCAAATTTACAGAGAAAATATTAGCAGAAATAAAAAAGGAGTGACCCCGCTTCTGGGGATCGGGGCAATCAGATGACAAATTCAGAATTGCGGCCTGTAGACGGTAAACACCAAAATTGGGGATGGCTCTGCCTTTCTTGGGCGTGGGGGTGGAGGGGGGCATGAGACACGGATAAATATAAATAAGTGAAAAGCTGTTATTGAAATGATTGGTCACGCCGAATTTAAACAAAATCTGTTAATAAGTGCGACCAGTAGACAATTTACAGATAAAAGGTTTACAAAAAAAAGTGGGTGTGGCACCGCCCCTTTTTTCGGGTGGGGGGGGGGGGCACGGTGGATTAGTGAGTAAGACGCTGGCTCGCTAGCCGAGAGGTCACGGGTTGGCTCCCGGTGTTGCCCGAGAAAATTTGCCTAGTCCTTCGGATTTGACGAAAAACCGAGGTCCCTTATACACATTGGCGTGCACGTAAAAGATCCCTTGGCAGTTGGAATTCGAAATAAGAGTAGGTCGTAGCGCCGCTGTTCTGGCAAAATATCAGTCATAGCCAGTGCCGGATCAAAGGCCCACCTGTCAGGTCATTCACCAAGGCCCACCTAAGTAAGCGCCGAAGTCGCACGAACGTCCGAGGGTTTTGTTGGGGGGGGGGGGGGGTCCCCCCAGCAAAATTTTGAAAATTGACAGCCACAAACCCATTTTTCAAGCATTTCACACCAAAGCAGAAAATGGCAAATTTTTGATTTCCTGATACAATTAGATAACAGATTTCTTTTCTCCCCCCCCCCCCTCTCCTTTCTTTCTCTTTTTTCTTTATAGGCTTAGGCCCACGTTTTTTAAATGAGCTTAGGCCCACCTGTCACGGACAGGTGGACAGGCGGGCCCAGTCCGGCACTGGTCATAGCACATTGTATTGTGAATGTCCGTCTTCATTAGACCAGTCGGGGCAGACCTATAGGGCGTTAAACCCCATTTCATTTCATTTCACCACCCCTGGGGGTTGGACATGCACCAAAATAAAGGACATTGGGCATGGCTCTGTCCCTGAGGCTTGGGCATGCACCAAAGAATTGAAGTCTGTGGGCCAAACATAGACACAAGCGCAAAGACACGATTGAACGTATAAAAATAAACACGAGTTTTTGTAAACAGTATTATTCATTGAAAATAAATATATACAATAAAATTTTTAAGACATTTTAAATAAATTAAACAATAAAATAAACAATAAATATATACACAGTATTAGTCCTGTAGATAAAATACAAATACGTCATCAGTAGTTTTAACTGTTGACTACAGACAGTGTAATACGTCATCAGTAGTTTTAACTGTTGACTACAGACAGTATAATACGTCATCAGTAGTTTTAACTGTTGACAAGCGACAATAAAACTGTAAATTGTATGACTAGAGACAATAACATTATGTTGACTAGTTTACACGAATTATTATAACTTGTTTATTTTATTTTAATTTCATTTGATCTGTGATATATTTAACGTCTAAAGAAAGACATGAGATGGGATAGTATAGGTTTAGTTGATTTAGCTTTAATATATTCTATCTTTTCATCTTGTTCAGTGTCTGATTTCCTACAACAATCTAGAGGTGTTTTACCACCTTTATTCTTGACATGTAGATCTAGATGTAAACAATCAACTAGATATTGTACTGTAGATAAAGTACCAAACCAACATGCCCAGTGTAAGATAGTATCATTATAACTGTCTCTAGCGTTAATATCAGCCTGATGACTGACTAGATATTGTATTTTATCTACAGGACTTACACTTGATTCACAACATTTAAATAACGGTGTCCGGTCATCACTGCCTCTGATGTTAACATCTATGTTCACCATGTTTTTTATATCATGCAAAGTACCATCTAGACAGGCATCAAATAATTGTTGTTGTTGTTGTTGACGTGTATCTGTAATATATAACATGTTATACTATATTTACAGTTTATCAAGTCATATTTAATATTGTTTCAGGTAAGTCAGAAATGAAATGAAATGGGGTTTAACGTCCTACTGTTCTGCTCCGATCGGGATAATGTAGAAGGGCATACGTCATACAGTGTGCTATGAGGGAAATTTTGCCCGGGCAGCGGCACTATCGCCTACTCTTATATCGAATTCCAACTGCCAAGGGATCTTTTACGTGCATTCCAATGTATACACGGGACCTCGGTTTTTCGTTTCATCCGAAGGACTAAACAGCTGTCCTTGTCAGGCCCTCCGTCCTGCATCACTGACAAGGGGGAACCACGCCGGAAAATCTGGATGAACTTTCTCCGCCAATGCAGGGTTCGAACACCCGACCTCCAGGCTAGCGAGCCATCGTCTTACCCACTTAGCCACGTGATCCCCTTCAGGTAAGTCAGCCGTTGGATATTATATTATATATTAGAATAACTTACCTTTCTTATCTGAGGTATCACTTGTATTACCAGACAAAGTACCATGTAATAATTGTTGCCGAACGGTATCTGTAATATATAAATCATATTTAATATTTTTCATCTAACTAGAATAACTATAAAGTTTATTATACGTCTTCTGACTTCAATGACGATGGGTATATGACGTGATAATTTGTGACGATGTGTGTATGACGTAATAATATCAACCTACCTTCCTCATTTAAGGTAAGAGTTTTAATACATGTCTCCAACTCATCAAATCTCTTCTTTGTCAGAGCTTCTTTCTCTTCAGTTTGTTTTTTGTATGTTTCTAGTTCATGTTCTCTCTTTTCGATTTTCTTCAACATCTGTTTGGAATCTCCATCTTGCCTCGTTTTTAATGTTTCCACCTGTTTCTTCAGGTTCTCTAATTCCTGTTTTGCAAGGTCGTGATCTTTATGTAAGTCTTCTAGCTGATGTCTTGTCGTGTCTTGTTCTGTCATCAGATTGGTTTTATTTTTACCTGTATGATAAAATTATTTCCATTTCAATACTATTACCAGTATGATATAATATAATACACAATTACACAAGACAAACCCACGGACAGGGCACAATATACATAGACAAATGAAATGAAATGGGGTTTAACGTCCTACTGCTCTGTTCCGACCGGGCTAATGGAGATGGACATACGCCATACATTGCGCTATGCGGGAAATGTTCCCAGGACAGCGGAGTTACGACCTACACTTATATCGAATTCCAACTGCTAGGAGATCTTTTATCTTCAGGCCAATGTGTACTGGCGGCCTCGATTTTTCGTTCCATCCAAACGACTTCACCTTACCAGGGGGTCAAGGCCCATGCCCTCCGTCGATACATCACTGTATCATGCCGGAAAGGGATCAAACATGGGACCTCCAGGTTTACGAGCCAATGTCTTACTCACTGAGCCACCGTGGCTCCAATATACATAGACATCTCAAATAAAAAAAATCTGAATGGATCCGGGTGCTAGCTATAAGCGTCCACTACGCCGTAGGCCTACAGAACAGGGCCTATACTGGCTATAGTGATTATATAGGCTTCAGTCGAAATGAAATCAAAGAATAAAAAAATCGAAGAAAAAAGTGGGAATATTTCCGGAACGTTGTAACACACTGGTGTCAGTCATGATCGGCCATGTGCTACATAAAATCTCAATATCAGCATATTGAGCCAGAAATAGTACTGAATTAAAATACATGGAAGGCGAAGCCATCGAACATAAGCAACCAGTCTTGACGGCCGTCGTCTGCTAAATGACTTTACACAAAGGTGATCGTCTGCCAATTGACGTCATAAGTTTGCATGTAAATAGCGCCAACAATAATAAGGGAGATAATCCAGTTATAGTAAGATGGACTCAGACTAGCAATTATTTGCCCATTGACTTCAATGTTAAATGGCTGTAACATCACAGGCTGTAGCTTTTTTCTCAACATTCCGTTGGTTCCAATCTTTATAGGCACAATGGGGACAACATTTGGCAATCTCCTCATCATAATTTTGTAGGGGGTTGACCATTTAGATTTTTTGCTACACGGATTTGAAGTTGACTGGGGTGAAAATCTCACTTCCGACACAATGACTGCTCTGCAGAAAGACACTTTACACCCCCTATCCCTCCGCTGTAATATCATCAGTATTACCCAAAACTGCTATGAAATTGCAAATTTGATCCCTTTTCTCCAATTCTAGACCAAAAAGTCAACCCAAAAATGCAGGAAGAGGGGAGAAAAAAATTAAGGGAAAAATTGTCTATTTATAACTCGCACTACATTCGTCCATCATGAAATAAGGGGAAATAATTACTAGTCTTAGTCCTATATACCTCACATGTTTCTGCAGTTTAAACAAATCTGTTGTTATCTAATAAACAAACATATATGCAATTCCCTGACCAAAGAATATGAAAATCTATGCATTTTCAGATGAGCTGTGCGGCATTCTGCAAACACTATAATGCATCAGAAAACTGCGGAATTTCAGACAGAAATTTAAAAGCACATGAATTTTGAATTAAACAGAACATTTTTATTTTTGAACATAAATGCATTCTGTAAAAAGATGAGATAAATTCAATATAAATCAAACACGAAAATACTTTAAAACAGTAATCATGATGCAATATTAGACTTTTTAACACTTTCATCGAAAACCACACAGTTTTTCTCTGTTAACGTAGTTTCAAGTGCCAAATTGTGGTCAAATCTAAAATGTTGAAACATGCAGTGCCTATGAATTTTAAAATATCTCCTATATAGCTGTATTTCCATAGGATAAGTAAGTTGAAATAATCTGATTATGTAACACTACAACAGCTTTTTCATCCCTACCCCCCAGTTTGGAATCTGATAATTTAAAAGCACATGAATTTTGAATTCCACAGAACATTTTTATTTTTGAACATAAATGCATTCTTCAAAAAGATGAGATGAATTCAATATAAATCAAACACGAAAATACTTTAAAACAGTAATCATGATGCAATATTAGACTTTTAACACTTTCATCGAAAACCACACAGTTTTTCTCTGTTAACATAGTTTTAAGTGCCAAATTGTGGTCAAATCTAAAATGTTGAAACATGCAGTGCCTATGAATTTCAAAATATCTCCTATATAGCTGTATTTCCACAGGATAAGTAAGTTGAAATAATCTGATTATGTAACACTACAACAGTTTTTTCATCCCCACCCCCCGGTATGGAATCTGATACATTGCTGACCAATCATAGGTCGCCCCGTTCACTCGAGCCTGTCAAATGATTTACAATGGCGATGGTGCCTACAACTTTCCTGACCAAGAGATATGCACAACCGTCGATCAACACACAAGCCATTAATGTTATCTTCCAATATGAGAGGCCATGATAAACACACAAGCGTCCTTTTCAAGCTCGGAAATTAAGTCATCACCAAAAAGCAAAGTTTACAGAGGTCCCAAACTGATTACGATTTGCCCTCCACTTCCACCACAGGTGTCATAGAGATCAGGGATGAAATTGATATGCATCATCGTTCTCCTAAAGCCAGTCCAGGAAGAGATCAGGTTTTGAGATGTAGACCTGAAATGTTAAATTTGGATGAGAATGAGAATTCTGGGGCGAATACTATCCAGGGAAATGGTCATTGACATCCAGAAAATGGTCAAAATGTGGAATTCTGTCATTCAGTTAAATGTCAAGGGGAGAAGACAGGCCTGTGCAGTACCAAATTTCCAGCCCATTACTATTAGTGAGCAGAAGTGGGGATGAGGTTGGATTTACTTCTTAAAAGTGTATGAAATGCACATTTATCTCACCTGTTTTGCTTCTTTTTTTTTAATACTTGTGTTGAGGTCAATCATTCCACTCTATGAAACAATGCCCTGGCACCTGAAATGATAGGAGGCTGGGGATAAATATGCAATAAAAAACAGTGAGAAAATAAGAAAAAAATATGGTTTCAACTGGAAATAGAAATAAACCTCTTTATTTCTCGCGAACAGCCCGTCACTGGCCCTCCAAAAAGAAACCAGTTAACAATCAGTAAAAAAGTAAACCTTGAGTGTCACATAAGTCTAAGCCAATCTCAAAGGTAGATGCCATGTTTTGAGGTTCGGTCTAAATATTAAGGCCAACTGCATGTTTGGTCAAAAGTCACACAGGTGTGAATTTTGGAGTGTACATGTTAACATTTCATTGTATGATGTCAAAAACATGTTAGGTCTAAATGTTAAGGCCAACTGCAGACTTGGTTCAAGGTCACAACATGTAAATAGGGTTAGGGCACATGATTTTTTTACACAATTGTGGGTTTGGGCTAGGGTCAGAACTAGGTCTTGGCTTAGGCCTAGGCTACATGCTTCTTGACAAGATTGTGGGTTAGGGTTAGGGTAAGGACTGGGTCTTGGGTTAGGGTTAGGGTCAGCCTTGTTTACATCTCGTGACTTTAGACCAAATCTGGAGTTGAGTTGGCCTTAATATTTAGACCTAACCATGTTTTGATATCATTGTGAAGAAAATGTTACACATTTACAACCCAAAATTCACACTCAACCAACGGATACCCCCAATCATGGCTATTTTGATACCAAATAGTCAAAAAACTTACTGCTGGGCAATAAAAAAGCAGTATTCTTACTATTTCTGACACTTTCCATTCAAAATTTCAGGAAATAAGCCCTTGAAAAAATATCAACATCCCGAGTCGGCCATGTTTCTTTACCTCATCAATACCTCACATGTTTCTGCAGTTTAAACAAATCTGTTGTTATCTAATAAACAAACATATATGCAATTCCCTGACCAAAGAATATGAAAATCTATGCATTTTCAGATGAGCTGTGCGGCATTCTGCAAACACTATAATGCATCAGAAAACTGCGGAATTTCAGACAGAAATTTAAAAGCACATGAATTTTGAATTAAACAGAACATTTTTATTTTTGAACATAAATGCATTCTGTAAAAAGATGAGATAAATTCAATATAAATCAAACACGAAAATACTTTAAAACAGTAATCATGATGCAATATTAGACTTTTTAACACTTTCATCGAAAACCACACAGTTTTTCTCTGTTAACGTAGTTTCAAGTGCCAAATTGTGGTCAAATCTAAAATGTTGAAACATGCAGTGCCTATGAATTTTAAAATATCTCCTATATAGCTGTATTTCCATAGGATAAGTAAGTTGAAATAATCTGATTATGTAACACTACAACAGCTTTTTCATCCCTACCCCCCAGTTTGGAATCTGATAATTTAAAAGCACATGAATTTTGAATTCCACAGAACATTTTTATTTTTGAACATAAATGCATTCTTCAAAAAGATGAGATGAATTCAATATAAATCAAACACGAAAATACTTTAAAACAGTAATCATGATGCAATATTAGACTTTTAACACTTTCATCGAAAACCACACAGTTTTTCTCTGTTAACATAGTTTTAAGTGCCAAATTGTGGTCAAATCTAAAATGTTGAAACATGCAGTGCCTATGAATTTCAAAATATCTCCTATATAGCTGTATTTCCACAGGATAAGTAAGTTGAAATAATCTGATTATGTAACACTACAACAGTTTTTTCATCCCCACCCCCCGGTATGGAATCTGATACATTGCTGACCAATCATAGGTCGCCCCGTTCACTCGAGCCTGTCAAATGATTTACAATGGCGATGGTGCCTACAACTTTCCTGACCAAGAGATATGCACAACCGTCGATCAACACACAAGCCATTAATGTTATCTTCCAATATGAGAGGCCATGATAAACACACAAGCGTCCTTTTCAAGCTCGGAAATTAAGTCATCACCAAAAAGCAAAGTTTACAGAGGTCCCAAACTGATTACGATTTGCCCTCCACTTCCACCACAGGTGTCATAGAGATCAGGGATGAAATTGATATGCATCATCGTTCTCCTAAAGCCAGTCCAGGAAGAGATCAGGTTTTGAGATGTAGACCTGAAATGTTAAATTTGGATGAG